CTCACCCTCGCTCCCCCACCCGGCCCCTCCCAGACCCTGTCCCCACCTGCGCCTTTCCCTCCACACCCCGCCTGCCCTCCTCCTCCCTGTCCCCACCATGGAGGTCCTGCGAGGACAGGACACAGCTCTCAGCTGTGACTGAGGGAGGCCTCACACACTCCTGGGCCTGGGCTGGGGGTCTCTCAGCCCTCCCACTCCAGCTCAGCAGGAAGGCCAGTGAGGGGAGCCTGGGCCAGGGCTGAGCTGTGGGGCTGGGGCCCTGGGGGAACCAGGGGTCATGGGAGTCAAGGGCCAGCGGACAGAGATCACAATGGGGGCACAGAGGCCGGGGGGCAGGGCCTAGGAGCTCCCCGACAGCAGCTCCCTACCCGCAGACCTGAGTCCGGGTGCACAGACCCCAGGCCACCCGAGTCCTCCAGCCCCTGAAACACTCACTTGGTCCAAGGCTGGCAGGCCTGGTTGTTGCCGGGCGAGAAGTGTCCTGGTGGGCACGGGGCACAGTCTGCAACGAAGTCAGCGGGCTCTGCACATCTGCCCTGCCCGGGGGCGCTTGGCCTCCAGAAGCCCCTCCCAGCTGCATGATGCCCCCTGGCCCTGATCCGGGGGCCCCCGTACCCTGTCTTGGCATGACCTACTGGGCGAAGGGGTCCATGGCCAGGCTTTGGGGCAGGGCTTCTGGGGGAGATGACAGCATGGGGGACACGCTCCTTTCACATGGTTCCAAGGGCTCCCCACCCCTGGCCAGAACTCACCGACTCCACGCTTGTAGCCGTGGCCCTCCAGGGGCTGGGTACCTGGCCGGCAGTGGCAGACTGTGTCCCTTGTGGGTGTACATCTCTGCTTGGGTTCGCTCCCACTTCCTGGGGGTCAGGTGGGGTGGGCACAGTCAGTGGGGAGGCCTGAGCCCCAGAGCAGGCCGGTGACCAAGGCCAAGGGTCGGCATCCGCCTCCCCCAGGCCAGTAGCCCCCTCAGAGCCAGGCAGCTCCTAGTCCTCTCCCATCCCTCCTGCCACATGTCCTCAGGAACTGCTACCCTCCTGCCAGCCTGCTCAGGACCCTCTGTGGCCCTTGACTTCAGGTCTCACCCCCACCCCGGCCATGTGGCCCTGGCCCCTCTGGAGGGGTAGGCGCCTTGTGGGAAGCCTCAGCTCCTCATGGGAACCCCAGGGCAGAGCAGACCCCATTGTGGGTTTGTTCTGTGGCTGTGGGACCCTGTGTGGTCTCCTGTGGAATGGCCGGGCCTGGTGCATAGTGGGGCTCACTCTGGCTGCACTGTGTGCAGGGCTTGCAGGCCTCGTAGTTAACCGCTTCGTTGTAGAAGCCGGGGGCGCACGGGTGGCACACTGTTTCCTGGGAGTTGGTGCAGCGGCTCTCCATCCCATAACCTGCCGCAGAAGGCCGGGGTCAGGAAGCGGCATGGCCTGGCCTCGCGCTCCCTCGGCAGCCCGCCGCCCAGCCTCAGGCTGGCCCACTGTCCCGGGGTGGCTCCAGGTCACCCACCATCCTGGAGTGTCACCTACCCTGTCACCGAGTCCAGTTGCCCCACAACGCCTGCACCACGTGACCCATCCGTAGGCCCCTCTCTGTCCCCACCTCCCCCCCACCCTGTTCCCCATCTACATGTTCCCCGTCTCTGTGTCCCCTGACCCCATCTCCTTATCCTGTGTCCCTGCAGGCTCCCCTCCCCTGCTCCATGTCTGGGGACTCACCAGGCAGGCACTCTTTACAGCACTTGCTGCCACTGGGGTAGGTGCCGTCACCGCAGCTGGGCTGGGCCGCAGCGCCAAGCGCGAGCCCCAGGAGCAGGAGGGCTGAGCCAGGCGCCCTAGGTGGTTGGGCTCCCACGCGCATTCTCGACTCCGCAGCTCGGGAGTCTGGGGTTTTTCCTTGCAGGAAGTGGCTATAAGGGCTGCGGGGGAGGGGTGGGGAGGGCAGGAGGAGGAACTAGGAGGAAGGAGGCCCCAGGAAGGGCTGGTGACCCCAACCCAGGCTGGTGGTGGGAAGGCAGCTTGTCTGGGAAGCCCCCTCCCAGCCAGCCATGGGTTTGTCTTCTGCCCTGGGCCCCAAGGCTCCCAACCCCTCAACAAGGCCCACTGCCGTCAGGCCCAGTCCAGGTGGCAGCTGGACACTGATCCAGACCCCCGCTGCACCCCAAGTGGGGACCTGCAGCCCCAGCCCTGCCAGGGCCAGGCCAGGTCCTCCAACCCCAGTGGTCTGCACTCACCCCTCACACTGGACCCTTCCCACTCCTGCTTCACAAGAAAGTGGGGTCTCTTTGGCCAGGCGTCCTGGGTGTCCCCCTGCCCTGCCCAGCGTGGCCAAGCTGCCTGGACCAGGATGGTCCTGGGATCCGTCCATGTGGCTCAACTCTTCTGGGCACCCACTCTCCCTGCACAGGGCAGACCCCTCAGGAGGAGCGGCAGCTGCTCCTGCAGTCCCCCACAGAAGGCCCTGGCCACACCTGTCCTCAACCCCTCGTCCGCAGACAGGTGCACAGAGCACATGGGTCAGCTGAGGCAGAACAGGATCAGGGCACAGGCTCCCTCGCAGTATGGACCTTCTCCTGGCATCAGCTGCAGTGGGTGGAGGGTGGCAGTGCCCAGGGCTCCAGAGTGTGGGCACTAGCCCAAGTCTCCAAACCCAGCTCAGACAGATGCAGCAGCCAGCAGTTCTGGTGGGTGAGATGCCTCGTGACCAGCGCCCACAGTGAGTGTGCACGTGTGTGAGTGTGTGTGCAGGCACGTGCTGGTGAGAGACCAGCTGAGCTCAGGGTTAGGGGTGAGTTCACGTCAGCACCCCAAATTCACACGTGGAAGCCCTGACCCCTGGGTGGCTATATTTGGAGACACTAAGGGGCAATTAAGGTCGGATGAGGTCATAAGGGGACCTGATCCAATGTGACTGGTGTCCCTCTAAGAGGAAGAAGTCAGGGCACAGACCCACACGCAGGGATGACACCCTGGTCTCGGACATCCAGCCTCCAGGCCGGGGAGAGGTAAGCACCCGCCTCCAGACTGCCTGAGCAGACTCAGCGCTTGCTGCTGGCCAAGCCCAGCCCCGTATCCCAGGTGTGGCATGTGCCTGGGAGCGTGTGGGCCACGTCTGTGCATGTGCACGTGGCTCTGGCCGCACATGCCAGCAGTGTGTGCTGCTCCTGTGAGCACCTGGGGATGTGCCCGGGGGCTCCCGTGAGGAAAAACCACCCGCTCTGGCCCCAGTCCCTACACCCACCAGTAGGACAGAGGCTAGAGCCACCGTGCGATTGACCCACGGAGCCGTGTGTCCTCAGACGTGGGCCAGGCAGTCCTGGGACAGGCGGCGGTGGTGGGGGTCTGTTTGCCAGCCACTGCGGGGCGTGAGGCAGAGCACAGGTGCACACACACGCGCGCGTGCACATGCTTTCTCCTGTGCAAAGCCCTGACCACTGGTGGCCCTGAAACACGGAGGCCATACTGTATCCTTCGGTGCCTTTAAATCTTAACCATGAGACAGGATTATCTGCTTAACAGTTAACCTTAAAGTTCAGGTGGGTGGGGGGGCCTCCTGCAGGGAAAGATAGGGGTGGGGGATTGACAGGCGCTGGAAATTCCCCTTCTCCTGGGGGGGCACAGGTGAGGAGCTGAGCTCCCGGCCCACCTGCGGGAAATTCCACCTCAGCCTGGCTCCACCCCCAGGCAGGGGCCACGCCTCCCCCAGAGACAGGGTCCACGGGGCAGGGGTGGATTGTCCACACGCGTGGTGTGTATATGTGTGAGCGTGTGCGGGCCTCGTCTGCCACTGATGGCGAGAAAAAAGTTTAAAGACAAACCACAGCCTCTGAGGCCGGGGTGACTGGAGGGCAGGGGAGCAGAGCCACACTCCAGGGCAGACCCTCCCCTTGCTGGGGGCCACGTGTGGGCCGCCCACCCTCTGGCGGTGCTGGTCTCTGCCACCCAAGGCCCCAGACACCAGGCAGCAGACAGGGGTCTGCTTGCAGGTGACCCCTGGACAGACAACTATGCGTCACCTGCAAGCCAGCCTGGCTGGCTCACACCTCTGTCTGAGCATCACACACCGACTGGCTCGTGCCCACCCGCCCGCACGGGCCTGGCCCACCACAGGGACCGCCCACCCACCACGCAGGCTGGTCTCCGTTCTGAAAACAGCCTTTCCTCTTGTTTGTCTGGAAACCAAGCCAGGTGTCACCACGCCCTGCTCCTCTGTGGCAGGGCCTCCCCACGCTGCTCGGAAGCAGGTCCCTGTGGCAAGGGCTAGTCACGTGGGCAGCTCAGGGCGGCCCCTCTGCCCACCCAGCCGGAGCCCCCAGCCCCAGCAGGGCCTTCAAAGGCCCGAGCACACCACTGGCCTGGTGTGCTGTCCACAGAGCGCCAAGGGCCACGGCTCAGGGATCTGAGGGGTGACTGGCAGAGAGGGCGGCAGTGGGGTGGTAAGCTTCGTGGGTGCACAGATCAGAGACCCTCCCTCAGTCATTTAAAGCCTCACTGCTCAATCCCCCCATCCCCACATGCCAGCCAACCACTGGGCACAGCTGACCCCCAGAAAGGCCTGGTGTGGCAGCGGGACTGGCCAGTGGAGGACAGAGCCTTGTCCACAGGCTCCCAGTCCCCTAGGCCGCCCCCACCCTGTCCCCTACACCAAGCCCCAGGCCAGGACCTGGGTGGTTCTCAAGGGCTCCCCAGTTCCCCACCCCATCCCGGGGGCCTAGGGCTTGTCCTCAGAGATGCCCTCTCCACCTCAAACTCCCACGTCCTTCCGGACCCTCCCAGGTGGTCTCACCCAGGCCTGGACTCCAGGCTCCTGACTTCAAATCTGCAGCCCAGACCCCAACTCCTGTTCTGCAGGAGGCCCCTCCCTGTCTCCCAGCCCCTCACACGCAGCCCCCAACCAGGACCTTGGTCCTGCCTGGTCCTCTCCCCGGTGTCACCCTTTCCGTCGCTGCCAAGCGGGGCGCTCAAGCCCGCGCGACAGTCCTGACTCACAGATGATCGCAAGCACCGGGGAGCCCAGTATTCAAACCAAACCGCCCACCGCAAAGCTTCAAGTGGAAGCCACCTGGCCACAAATGTTCCAAGTTGTCGTCTACATGGCTTTTTTCCCACACACACAAAAAATGAAGCTGGGAGAAAAAGGCAACTATATTTTAAAGTAAGTTAATGTGATTCCTGTCACAAGTACTCGCATTTTCTCGGAGACTGAACACCATGGGCCAGATGATTCTCACAGCCCCGCCCAACACAGTGGGAGGAGCGGCACCCAGCTGCTGGTTTCCAGCAGAGCAACTCAAACATCATCTTAATCTTTCAGTTTTCAAGGAAACAGCAGGAGCTGTGTTATTTCCCACGGTGTGGCAAGCCCGGGGCCCTGATGTGGTCAGTGCCTTCGGCAGAAGGGCTCTGAGTTCTCAGAAGCGAGATGCAGCGATTACGCGGGAACCGAAGCACGTTTGCGGGACGCGGTGCTCAGCACGTCTCAGAAGAGTCGAGCAGGCGGGTGGCAGGTGGGAGGGGGGGAAGAGGGAGGGGCGGGGCGACTCAGAACTCCTCGTGCACGCTGCGGGCATAGTCCACCAGCTTGCTGCCAGTGAAGAACTCACTGTACTTGAGGACCTCCTCTGGCTCGAGGTGCTGGTTCTGGTTCTCGTCGGCAATAGCGATCATCTGCTTGGCCTCATTGAGTGCGCTGTACTCATTCATGGGGTCCATGTAGTCCTGCAAGAGCGCCGGGTCAGCCCCTCCACCCGCAGGCGCCCTCCTCGGGCCTCTGCCCGGGAACCACCTGGGGGACGCCCGAGCTAGGTCAGCTCCCGCCTCAGGGAAGCAGCAGCAGGGCTGGGACACTAACCAACTACAGACTCAAGGCGTCACTCACAATACCCTGTAGGCTGGTAGGAAGAAACTGCAAGACAGGGATGTGGGCATGTTCTGGAATGTTCTGGAAGGTGGACGCCAGGCTGGATGTGGCTCGGGGTCAGGCAGCCTTCACTCGTGTGGGCACCTGCCCATCCTCGTCAGGGTGCCCGGCCATGGAAGGGCAGGGCAGGGAGAAGGGAGGCCTTGGCGCAGGTCACACACACACGCACAGACACGGACACAGACTGACTCGGCTGCAGGAGGGCTGTGCCAACAGGAAGGAGTCCCTACACCAGAGATGCCCCCAGCTATCAACAGGGATCAGAGAATTCTGGCGTAAAATGAAATGACTCATCCAGCAATGGGAAAAAAACAAGCCCCACGCAGCACCCACACACACCACCAGTGACAACACTCAGAAGCTGTCCCGCTGGGCCGCCACTTCTCAGACCCGAGTGGATGCGTCACCCCAGGCACCCGACCCGGTGACGAGCACAGGTGCCTCAGATCTCAGCGGGAAAGCGGATGACACTGGCGGGCAGGGCCCCAGGGAGCCACTAGCACCTCCATGGGCTCCGGGGCTCCAGGTCCCCTGGCCAAGGAACCAAGGGAACAGCCACAGCCAGACCAACCCTGCCATCCTGGCTCAGGACGGTCCCATGGGGGCTCCTCTCTGCTCGGTGCCCCTCGGCCCCCAGGGCCTGCGCTCACCTCCAGCTCTGCCATGGTGACCACCCCGTCGTGGTTGGCGTCAATCAGCTCCTCGAACTCCCTCCTCCTGTCCCTCACCCAGCTGTCATCGATGTCCTGGCCCTGCTGGTTTTCCACAGTGCCCACGGGCAGGGAGATGAACTCGGGCAGCGAGAGCCTCTTGTCACCATCCTGGTCTGCAAGGCGAGGGGGCAGATACTCAGGCTCGAGCAGGCACAGGGCTGTCGAGGACTCTCAGGAGAAAAGTCCACCGACGGGGTCCAGCTGCCAGGTTTTCATTTGTGAGGTTTCAGCCCAACCCTGAACAGGTATGTCTCACAGGACCTACAGCCACGTGGCACCAGCCTCATCGGGCAGCCACCCCCACCCAGGCTTGGCCCGTGCTGAGCTCCGCCAGGAGGGTGGGCTGGCCGTGGACAGCAGCCCCTGCCCAGTCCCGCGGACGGGCCTCACCCAGGTCCCGGACGATCTCCTTGACCATGAACTGGAGCATGCCGCGGCTGTGCTCAGGGTGGAGGAAGGACAGGAACTCGGCCTCGGTCAGCAGCAGGTCCGGGGGCGGGCTGTCTGCCTGATACCAGCGGTCTTTGAGGTTCTCCAGGACTTCCTGTGCTGAGAGACAGGCATCCGTGAGGATCTGGGCACATGAAACCCCCACACGCATCCAGAAAGTTCCAAGACGCACTGCTGCGTGCAGAGGGCCAGCTCCGGGCGAGGCAGCATCCGAGGCCAAGGGCCTTGCCCCTCAGAGGGAGCTTGGCCCCCAGGGAGGCAGACGGCATGGACCCACCCCAGACGGAAGCACACACACCCCTAGATGTGGACACAGACCCCCTCAGACACAGATCCCCCTCCCCATCCCACACACACAGACCCCTGGACACAGACCCCCCTCAGACACAGATCCCCCTCCCCATCCCACACACACAGACCCCTGGACACAGACCCCCTCAGACACAGATCCCCCACCGCCCACCACCACAGACCCCTGGACACAGACCCCC